GATTTTAGTTGAGAGTAGATTTCTGTACGGAATATGGCATTTTGCCAGTCTTGCAAAGCATGTAGTTGAAGTTGAGTGGAGTTCAGTAGAAATTGGTTTTTAGAAAGACGCTTTTTAGAAGGGAACACATCAAAGAGTTCCAAGGAGCAAAGGATAAACTGTCTGGAAATGGATCTTCTCGGGACTTTCTAAAAGAAAAAGAAGAACCTCGGGAAGTTTTAAGGAGAAAGCAATAGAGAAGAAACTAGAATAACCTGGACTGTAAGTCGAAGCCATGGAGCTGCTGGAGGCATTCTATCGAAGGAAGCTCAGGAAGAAGCAGAAGAAAACGGAGCTGGGCCGGTCAGACGGGGCCCTGTGTCGGTCACCGTCGGAGGCCAGCGTCAACAGCCTGGCGACCGGCCTCATCTCCAAAGTCCTCAGATTCACCTCCAGGTAAAACAGGGACATGAGTAATTTGTGTCCTCAAAGACGAAAGACAGGTTAATGAAAACAGGCCAGAATTTGGTTTGTTTGAGGTTAGGAATGGTTGCGGTTTGCTAAAAGACTTGTGTTAAAAGTTTGTATAGTTTAAACAAAATTCAAGCTTTGCACGTACACAGTACTTGCAAACCACAATCAATAGTCAAAGAGGATGAATGGATATTTTTAAAGATTGTTTTCTGGAATTTTTTGGCTTTATTGGATTGCGTGGCAGTGAAAACAGACAGGAAACTGAGGAGAAAGAACAGGAAGTGCATCTGAGAGATTGTGATAAACTTAGGTTCATATTGCTGTGCTGCTTATTCAAAAATATTGAAGTTGACAACTGTAAAATAAAACCTTAACTAATATTAGAACATCTTAATCCATCTATAAAAATTCTTAAAAACGCAGTGACTTAGAAGACAAGAGAAAAGTCATTAATCTAACTTGTGTTAAGTTGCAGGAAGCCTGAATTGTTAATTGCTGATAAATCTAAGAAAACTGTAGCCACCTTTAGCCACAGCCCAGAGAATCTCAGAAATCAAACAAACAATCAGGGCTACGCATCGATAATTTGGATAAAGGTTGCAGCCAGATTTTCAAATTTTAGACCCTCTGTCGAAATGTTTATGACTTGCAGTAACATTGACGACCTCACCAGTGACCTTTTTAGGGTCTCAGAATCTTCCTTTTGGAGATTTTCCATCTGAATTCCTGCATACAGAAATTGTTGGTGGAACCCACCCGAAAAAGAAAACCTCCCTGTTCAGTAACATAGTAATGGAGTTATTTTATCTGGTCTCTTATTGGAGTTTAATTTAATTAATGATGGTCATCATTTCTGGTTAAAAATGGTCACAAATATGAGGAAAATAGGTAACTGTATCAATGCTTTTATTTTGTGGAGCATTCATGCTTAGTGTCACAGTCACATCCCAAAGGAAGCCCCCACCAACAAGTCAAATCTATCAAGACCAACTAAAGTGAGAACCATAAGTCAAAACCAGCAGGACCTTCTCTAAGCTACGACTAAACTAGAACGTCTTTCCTGAGGTTTTAAACCTAATATTGGGATTTGTTAAATAATGTTTGGTGTGTGAGCTTTGAATCTTCCAATTAACTGCAACTGACTTTGTAAATTGTATGGGACAAGGATGATACTGTCTTACTGTGAACACAGGGCCAAAATGAAGATAAAAATACACTTTGTTATACTTTAGAATCAGAGTGAACAGTAGTCAAAGGAGCTTGCAAAGAAAAGCGTCTGGACTTCTTTAAGTTACTTGAAGACGTTTCACCTCTCATCCGAGAAGCTTCTTCAGTTCTAAGGTCAAATGGTGGGGGGGATACTCCCAAAACCTAGAGAGAGGAGACCCCCCACCATTTGACCTTAGAACTGAAGAAGCTTCTCTGATGAGAGGTGAAACGTCTTCAAGTAACTTAAAGAAGTCCAGACGCTTTTCTTTGCAAGCTCCTTTGACTACGATGACCTGGATGACTGAGAACCTTCACAGAAAGAGTAAACAGTACATTCTCTGCAGAGCTAATAGAAAGGGTGTAAATGTGTATATGTACATCGGTGATGATAAAGTGTTGAGGTATTCCAGTCATGTCCTGTCATTATCCAGGTTCCTGTGGTTCAGAGACATACAGGCTTTCATGTCTCTGTCTCCTACTTAGTCAGATAAAATCATTTCCTGTTTATCTGTGAGCATAAATACAGAGCAGGAGGATATGTCAAATATGAGTATCGGTGGAAATTATTTTAACGTCAGTATCCCTGTAATCATAACTCGTCTGCCAACACGATCAGAGTATGATGATGGTGATGTGATAACGTTTAGCCCTGCAAACAAAAATATGATAATTATCCCTGAAACAATATCTGTGTTTTTTCTAACCAGCTTCAATATTTACCCCGATTTAGTGTGTTTGCATGTGAGATTCAAAAATAAGTTGTGGGAAATCACAACAGTAAAGACACCGGTTTATAATTTTTACATTCTGGCTTGTGATGGAGTCCATTATAGCATTTTTCAACCTTAACTACTTTATGTGCTACTGAGGAGCTAAACTTTGATTTTGACTCTGTGGCTGTTTTAACTGCTCTCATTTCAAACTTAACTATTAATATTGTAACCTCCAGGTAACAGGTATGCAAAGCTTTAAAATAAATGTAGATGGAGAAAAGATTACTTTGCTAACGAAATCTACTAAAATGAAAGATTGTGCCATCATGAAACATCCACATAACTTTAGTTTTCACTTGTTCTTAATTCAGTTTGACTCTGTCTAAAATAGAACAAGTCATCATAGGTACTGCCACTGATCTGAGCCCAGAGCGTTAACCTCTAAACAACCACCCAAGGTATTGTTAAGCTTGCATTTAGCCACATGTTAGAAAGGTGCTGCCTGTCAAATAAAGTCCTGTGTTATTTGATCTAACAGTTCTTCCAAGCTTTTCCTTTCGGTTTGAAATATACTTAAAATATCATAGGAGGACAGAAATTATCCCAAACTTAATCCTAAAAAGGAATGCTAAATTGAATATCTTATCTAGAAGGTATAATAATGTGACTACACATATTAGAGAGCTAGTCACCTACAGGATTGTTAAACATTAAAACACTGTAATGAATGACCACTTGGAAGCTGTGTCTTAAAGCATTTCATTGTGATTATTACTTTTTATGTGTATTATTAAATTTCCTGGTGTTGTCGTCCATTCATTGAAACACTTCAGTAACTTTTTTCCTTCCTTGGAAATGGAAGAAAGAGGCAGAGATAGGCAGAAGGTGAGTCAGATCGGGGGGGGGGGGGTTCCATCTCTGATAATAATCTCTTTTCAATCCCTGCAGTGAGTTGAAGCATCTAATGGCTCTATGAATGAAGATATGTGCAGAGTGAAAGGGGACAGATATGGTTAAATTATAAACTGGGAATGTGGTTTAATGTTGTATGTGGTGCAGCTTTTTGTAAAAATCCTCACTACTACCTAATACACAGCATGTATATGAGAATTACATAAGAACTGTCACTGTGCTACATTAAAATTAAAGTTTTAGAAAAAAAAAATTGCAGTTAGTGTGAGTACACCAGCATCTATTTAGCTCAAAGTACAGATGAATTTGTCAACTTTGTCTGAGGTCAGCCTAACAGTGTCGCATGAAGTGAAACCGCTACAGAAGAACCAAAATTCAGATTCACTCAACAGAACCAAGAAATGTTTAACAGGCCCCCCAAGCAACAAAAAAAAAAGAAAAAGAAATATTCTGGTTTTATCCATCAGTTTATCCATAGCTGATTCAACTTTCTCAGAGGAAATTGGGCAAAAAATGTGCTGTTTTGGATCATTGTTAACCTTCCAGTGATTCATGATCCTCAAGAATATCCAGAAACCAACTGAACTGCTGAAATATTTAGTTGATTGGTTAAATATGATGCCACAAATCAAATTATGATATCATATAAACAAGAGCCCCGAGGGAGTTGCCTGTTTGGCCTATCTGTCATGACTTTTTGGAAGAATTTCTCAATCATATGATGTTTATTTTTTTTCTTTTTTTGAAAAAGAACATTTAATCCTCCATACAGCAAGACGATTGTTGTGCAAGAACGTATGAAAAGAAAGCTTTTTGTTCTGTCCATTTTGCAGACGCTTGAAAAACGTGTGTAACACATGTGTAACAAGCAGCTGAGCAGCTGATTCATTGTTTGATTAGAGTGAAATGTAATGTGATTCCTGTATTGTGTTGCTTTTAAATGCATTACCCACAGGGAGGTTGGGCTCAGGTTATGGTTGGTTAAGATTGGTCTGAGTTAGATTTAGATTAGGGTTGGGCTGGATTTTGATAATGGTGTCTTACCTGAATTCGTACATTAGGCTTGGATTGGACTGGAGTTTGGTTAAGATTTGAGGGGTTTTGGGTAACAGCTGGGTTGGATTTTTGATGATAGTGGTTGACCTGGAACTGGGTTAAATTAGGCTTTGTGCTTAGCTTTATCTTGGACTGGGGGTTAGATTAGGATTGGGTTTATATTGAATTTGAGGGCTTTGCTTGGATTGGATTGGAATTTAGGTCACAATCGGGTCTGAGGTTGAATGTTGAGGTGGGTTGGGTTTTAAGTTAGAATAGTTTTTGGTTTGGTTGATAGCGGCTGAGCTGGAACTTTGGTTAGGTTTTATCTTTAGCTTTATCTTACATTTGGACCCTGGATTAGGATCGGCTTGGATTACAGATGGGTTTGGGTTGGGGTGAGTGTAGATGATAATGGCCAATCTGGATTTGCGGATAAGTCTTGGAGTCTGGCTTGGATTGGGATACCTGGGTTTGGGTTGGAATGGGTTTGGATGATAGTGGCTGATGATGTTAAAGTCTGGTCAGAAATAGAGGTGAGGCTGGCTTACCCTGCACTATCCTTCACAGCTAACTAAACCCTGAAAACACACTCTTAATCACAGCATTTAGAAATGGAGGTCACACTGTCCAGTACTTCACATACTCTAAATCCCTCTCTCTGTTTTCACCCTACAGACGCACTGAGCCGGCATCTCGTCCTCATTCATGGCATTCATCGAAGCTCGATGAAGGCCAGCAGGAGCTGGACCCGGGAGCAATGGACAGCATGAGCAGCACGTGGCACCACAACTACCACGCCAGGTTAGTGTTTCTTATATATATCTAATGATTATCTAAGCCCCTGATGTTCAGTATATTATCATTTTCACCATTTCCTGAGTGAGATTTTGCTCAAGTTTTGATTTTTAATTGAATATTGTCAGTTCATGCTGGGATATGTCATTAAACCAAACATCCTCCTGTTTCAAACAAATGCATCTTCATTACTGGCCTCAGATATCTGGTCATCACTACATATGAAAAAAGTAAATCTCCTTTCTTTTAACATTTCAAACATCCAGACATTAAAGAAGTTAATAACTGGAGAAGTCAGTAGAGTCAAAGATAACTTGACTTGTAGATTCAGTGGATGCTTGTTCTTGGAGGTAGGAAGGCAATAATATTGTGGTAATTAACACATATACACATTTATGCTCATTCCAGTAAATGCGATAACAGCACTTGAGCTGCTGATCATCAGCTTTAGAACTGCGTTTACAACCAGCAGCTGTGGCAAATAACCCTCCTTACAGGCACACCCTGCAGGTAATAGCACTTATCGATCTGCTGTCAAAATAAGAGCCTGAGACCTGCCTGACCTCAAACATTTCCAGCACAGTCTGAGGACATGTTTAGAAGTCTGGATTGTAGGTTTACTCAACACCACTATCTGTAAGTCACTCAGAAGGTCAAAGTTCATGGTTGCAGACACTCACGTGATGTCTTGTGTCTCATCTCAGGCCAATATACATGCATAGTCTAGTCTAAAGACCCCGTGTGATACAGCCACGCTTCCTTCATTTTTGTGTTATTTAAAAGCTAATCTTATTTTACAAAATGTTATTTATAAATTTTGCCTTAGAATGTTGGTGTTTCTTTTTTGTCATGACCAACTTAATGTTTAAGACCCTGTGGTGCATAACAGAACAGACAAGAGACACAGCTGCTTATTGCTGTCTCACAAAGGATGTGAACTTTGACCCCCTGAATCCTGGAGTGTCTAAAAGCCAGTTTGTCTGCACCACTAGCGGCCTCTGAAGTTCCTTTTATATTCATGCTTAGTGATCTACTACACTCTGAAATGTGTAGTAGAAACCTATGCAACATTTGGACTTGAGCTCAGCCGACACTTTCCTAATGAGTTCATGGGCTCAGTCACTCATTTCGGGTCATAGTGAATAAAGCATTGCGTATTTGGTGAATTTTGGTTAACCTGAGGTTTCTAAAGGAGAATTATATGAGGTGTGTTCAGTGATGAATGACTTGCCATTGACAAGCAGATGGAGAAAAAAGACATTTTGAAGCTTGAGGCTTCAAAACAGAACGTTGTCCTTCAGTTCTTGTTTTATTTTGAAAGTTAGAGCCTCACGTGGCTTTCTGTATTTTTACTTCTTCCTTTGTTTGTTTTATTTGGGGTTTTTTTTTCCTATCCTGAGTTCACCTGTTTCTTGTTATCCTTCTTTCACTGCTGTGTATTTAATTATTATGTTTCCCCTCAGTCTTTACCAAGTGGTGGTCTCTACTAACCCTGATTCCCTTCTTTTGCATTTTTGTTGTTTTATATCATTTACTGTATTAGCAACAGCCTGCCTCATCATGCAGGGTGTTTATGAGTAATAAAGTTCCTTCTTTTTCATCCACCTTTCTCCATCTGTCTGCATACTTGGATCCACTTTAGTCCTTTCTGAAGAATGGTGATAGTAGCTGACATGGCTGAACTTGGACATTTTAACATGAGACTCACATTTGGAGCCAGCACTGCCACTTTCACATTGGCTGAATTTTTCATCCCCCAGAGGTTGCCCTTTGGCTGGAGCCTATCACAGTTGACACTGGAGGTCACAGGCACCATGGCCAGTTAACTTTACATGTTTTATGTGAAGTGGACCTGCTGGTCAAAGGAAGTTACATCACTGATTCTTTGAAGCACCAGTGAGAGGGAAAATAAAAGCCTCTGATGTGGCTGTGAGGGAGAACGGAGCATTGGCGTTCCTTAAGCCCACCTCCCCCCTCTTTTAGGTCCCATGGAAACCCCTACTCATCCACCCACACAAACACAAACCCACATACACTCACACACTTGGTTGTCCTGATGTAGCATAATATTTTTTGCATTCCTTAATCCCCTGAGTAGAGGTGGGATTAAAACACAGAGAATGAGACATCCAGCTGACGAAGAGATGGATGCTGAAAGTGAAGTTAGACTCACAGAAGTCCGTGAACACAAGCAGACGCTGTCCTCTTTTTCCACAGTCGTAATCGCATTGTGTTCGGTTGAAGGACTTGGTGGGTCAAACTGTGACGTCAATGCACATTTACATTCCAGTCAGTCATTCAGAGTGAGGTAGCGGTGCATTCGGCTGCGGATCACCAGCTTTACAACTGCTGGTTGTAAAGAACGCACACCTCATCATGTCGGCGTTCTGGCCCTTTTTTTCTCTAAGAGCCTGAGTCACTTTCAAAGAGATGCTACAATGCCAGTCTGAGCAGTGTGTCAGCTCTCCACTCGAGCATAAGACCGAACATTTGTGCTGTGCAACAGGGGCTTCTTCAGGATGCTTTTTTTTATGTGGGGTGGCACGAACAAAGTAAGGGGAGCACGAGAAATCAGAATATTTGATCCTAAATAAATTCAGGGTAGAAAACTGGTGTAGAAAACACAGGCCAGCGTTTTCAGGCTTGTGCAGCTGGGTGCACTCATACAGTGAATGTTTTGCAGTGCCACTTTTGGAAAGTTTGCAAGATCTGCAGAGTAGAGTTTATGTTACTGGAAAGTTTTTTCAAGTATTTTGCCAAGTGGTGAAACAAACCTTTCTGCTTCAAAATATACTTAAAGTAAAAGTGCTCATTACACAGAATCATTAACATAGATCACAGTTATTGATTTATTAATGTTTATGTCACTCTAATGTAGCATTTGGAGTTGATTTAATCACGTATGTACAACTGGGTAACTTTATCTATAATATAAGCAGTAACTAAAGCTCTAGAATGGATGATATGGGGGAGGGGAGAAAAAAAGCTTTCATCTCACCTTCAACAACAATCCAACCATCACAGAAATGTATCGTTACCAAGAGCCATTCAATGAGATTTCCAACGTTATCAACACCATCTTCTCTTTCTATATGTTTCTAAAAAAATAAATGATGATCCACGCCACTGTGAGGGGGGACAGTCTCTTATACTTGAAGAGATTCATGCATTCTGTGAGAAAACATTTGTTCTTGTTGGGATAATTTCCTTTAAACTCACTCTTTATCTCATTAGTAGTAGTTACATGCATCAGTATATTACTACAGCACTATACAGTATATCTCCCCTTACTATATGATTTCTCCCAGAAAGTCCTTTAAGAAAAAGTCTAATTCTGCAGTAGGCAGATGGTGCGAATCATACAACTGTGGCACATCAAGCCACAGCTAACCACCAGCGCAGCTGATCCAGTTAATCCACAGCTGCACTGGTGGTTAGGAAAGACAAAACTGTCAGGAGACCATGTCATGAAAGCGTGAGCCCGAGTGAGTCATCTTTCCACAGTTGTTTAAGGCAAACATGACACCAAGAAAGCTAAAAAGACACTTGGAAATCAAACATCTCTTCAAAGAGAGGCTTGGCTTCACTACAAACAGTGCTGAATCAGAGGCAGCAAGCCCATTTGTTGGACTGTGTGAAAGTGTCTCATAAGGAGATGGAAGCATGTTATTGACCACTGGAGTGGTGACTCTTGTGCATAAAAAAGAAATTGAGATGTAATGCGGTGTCCAGATGTTGAGGCTGGGATGTCTAAAATGCCCTTCATGGTTCAAAGTCATCGTCATTGTCCCACTAAGGGAAATTTTGACAAAATAGCTACAAACTAGCAACATCTCCCCAGCCTCAGCTGTCCTTTGTGATTGGTTCTAATTCGATTTTACTGAAATGAAGCACTAAATGTAAGAGTTGTTGTCTCTCAGTGTCTCGACCAACGATCTCTCCGGCGGATTCGACTCTGGCTACCTGAGGAAGAGTCCGGACCAGTACAGCTCCAGGGGCAGCATGGACAGTCTGGACCATACCCAGTCCTCCCAGCTTCACTCTGGAGCTCAGCACCAGCACTCACTGGCCCACCACAGACTCAGTGGACCCCACCCGGCCTACTCCTCCTGCCACCAGCTGTCCTCAGCCAGGTGCATAAACCAAACACTCCTCAGCAATTGTTAGGTATAAGCTGAAAAGTCAGTCTAACAGCAACTCCAATACTAATTTGTATATAAATCATTTGTCAGTTTTACCTTCAGAATGTAAAACTGACGTTACATTGAAGGCACAAAGAGAGGCATCCAGCCCTTTTTATATATTTTTACTTATTTGAAACATCCAAATGTGAGACTAATGCCAAAGTAAATTACGCTACGTTCACACTGCAGGTCTTAATGCTCAATTCGGATTTTTTGATCAAATCCGATTTTTTTTTGTCTGCTTGTTCACACTACAAATAAAATGTGACAGCAAACACGCTCTAGTGTGAACCCTCAAAGTGGCCCACATACGCAAAAGAAGACGTCACACACGTGCTCTGTTTAGACCCAGACCAAACAGTATTGTTTGACTGATGTCCCTTACTATAAAGACTTGTTTCGGACTTTACGTTTCCCAATTTTGCTTTAAGTTGTAAAGTTATTTTGTTATTTACATATGGCCTAATAATTATCCGTATTGCTGTTTCAGAGAGGAGCGGTGCTTCAAAGGATAGTTGCAGATTTCTGTCAGAATCTGCAGATTATACAGTACAAATAAAATGTTCACGTTTCTCCAACATTGTCTTCCAAACAGTTTCACTAACATCTACACTGGATGCCCAGGAAGTGTTCACGATGTCTTCTCGGGCGCTTCTCCGGCGCTGATAATTGGCGTCTGTCTTGTGTCAGTGACGCAAAAGACGGATTTAATGCGTCCTGACCGTTCAAACAGCAGTCGCTTTCTAAAACATCAGATATGTATCAGATTCAGTACCACATACAAAAGTGACCCAGATCGGATTTGAAAATATCGGATTTGTGCTGTTCACACTGTCATACCATGATCGGATATGGGTCGCATATCGTCAAAAAAGTTGGATTGATGCGCTTTCACCTGCAGTGTGAACGTAGCCTTAGAGGTCTTTTGAAACTGAATAGCTAGGTCTTCAAAATTTACCTGCTTAGTATGTTGCCCAAATAGAACTTAACCCTAAACCTGGACCTGTCCCTGGTTCAGTCACTGATGGCCTGGTGGTTTTAAAGAGGTTGTCTTTGAACCAATTAAACTTAGGTTACATTTAAGCCACTTGGTAAACCAGCCTAGTTCCAGAAAGTAGAAGATAATGCCTTTCAAATCAAGTTACAGGGATTTGGTGTGCAGTTGGGTTAAAAGCTCTGTCTGGGTATATTAAATGGGGAAAAAAAAGTTCCAGAAATATTCCCTAACTCTAAACATGTTACTGACAACCTGATGGATATTACATTAAATCTCTGTATGCTTATCCTTTGAACTAAACCTTAATCAGTGAGATCGGGACTAGTGTCACAGTCTTGAACTACTTGTTTTCCAGGTCGTCCAACAGCATTGAACACTTGCACAGCAAGAGAGACTCTGCCTATTACTCTTTCTCCACTAGCTCCAGCATCCAAGAATACCACGCCTCCACCCCCTCAATCAGCACAGAGCGCTCCAGTTCACTGGACACCGTCCCTCAGAGAGCAGGAGGAAGTGGCGAGACGCACCAGGCTGACATGCGTTACGCCCCGTCAGTTTACGACACCCAGCAGGGCATCTTTCAGGAGCGCGAGCTGAGCTCCAACTCTGCCGTGTTCTTACGTAACAGCGACTCCAGAAGCGGGGGCGGAGCCAGGTCAGGGACAGTTCGAGATCTGGAAGGTAAAGTTTCTGTTACTGGAATGTTTTTCATGTTTTCAGGTATGGTAACTTTGATTCAGTAACGTCATTGTTTGTCCATGGTACTCTTGGTTTCAGGTTCAGTTAGCGGGGTCTGTTACCGTGGCAGCAGCAGCAGCAGCGGTGGTGCACCGGCATCAAACAGACACAGTGTAGGACCAATATGGGCCCCGGCAGCCAACCGCAGCTCCTATGAAAACCTGAAGGGGGCGCCTGCTCCACCAAGGCGCAGTGATAGCTATGCCGTTATCAGGAGCCACGAGAGACCAAACTCCTGGTCCAGTCTGGAGCACGCCAGATCACTACGGTAACCAGGTTCCATGAAGTTAGAGTGAACATTGATTCGCATTCAGTGCTTCACAAATTTATTTGAGCGACACCCAATGTATGGTTTATGACACAGCAACCCTAAATTAACCGTATTGGTCATTTTAATGGTTAATCCAGCAGCATGAGAAGGCTCTTTAATGAAAATGTTGTTTTTAATGTTAGAATACAGTTATTGTTCTTAATAATGCATGTTCAAATGTATTGCTTTAGCAAATAAATAAAAAAAATCACATTTTTTGATTAAAATGTCAAATTACAGTTACTTACTTGCATTCCTGAACAGAAAAAATAGTTTTAGTGGCTTAGTGGTGTGCTTGATTAATTTCTGACTTCTCAGAGAAATCCAGTGTCATCATCTTTTATTTCAGTATAATAATTTACTATATTGCACAATATTTCTATTTAATACAATATTGTATCAAGCCATGTGGCTTACTGGATAGAATAAGTCCATTTCACTTTCACTTTTTTTTTCCTTTGAACTTGGGGCACCAAGTTATTGAGAAGTGTTTTTCTTTGAAGCTTTGCCAAGTAAGAATTTAATTATTTTGATTTTACAATGCTTTACAATAACTTTCAGTTTGCAGTGGGAAAAGATGAACTAAACATGTGTCACAATATGATATGTTATGTTATGACACAACATTATAAAATCCAACTTGCCACACTACAGTACTGTGTTCATACATTGTGATTACAATGTGATATCATATGCTACGTAATGGTAATATGGTGTGCTTTGTTATGATACAACAATGTGTAATGCAATGTGATATAATTTATCTAAATCTAGAATAATCTAAAATAACTGACATGGAGTGATACAATGCAATATGATACCATGCTTTATGATATTCAGTACAACATATTAAAATATACAACTCTACAATTCAACATGCTGTACCCAAGAACCATCTGCTTTTTATATAGCACATCCTGGTACAACACAATAGATTGGTGGTGCACTATAAGCTGCAGTATGAGTCAATATAATGCAGAGTGTTATTATGTTATACTGCATAATACAGACAGTGTGCAGAATGGCGCCATGTGTTTGTAAAGCAGCCATATCCGATGCAGTAGTGTACTTTAGTTGTGAAATATTTTCTACTTGTGTAAATTGGTAAGTCAGTTAAACTATTTTATCTAATCAAAAGTTTTTCAATCTCTCTTAGTTCTCTGCAGAAAGGCTCCTGGCATCACTCCAGTGGTAACGTTGCCTTAGGTAATGACTGCATTTACGTGCTCCGTGAATTAAACATGTAGAAACAGGTTCAAACGAAGACAATGATATATGACATGACTTTTTAGTAGCTTTATACTGTATAGATGAGAAAACTGACTAACTCTGACTGTTGATTCAGCTAAAGGCTCGTATGGTGCTGAGGGTCAGCTCCACACGGTGATGGAGAAGAGTCCAGAGAGCAGCCCCACCACAAGGCCCCGTCAGGGTGGAGGCTTTCCTCAACCCCCGTCCCCTACCGGGCCTTCCTCTGGATCTGCAGGCCCCACGCCACAGGCCAGCCGGTTTATCCTTCCTACCAGCATTTACCCTGTTCCCCAGCCTGAGCCACACTATGCACAGATGCCCAACTCTCCCAGCCCAGGCCCCTGTGGAGTCTACCCAGCCTTGGCCAAGGAGAGCAACCGGCAAACGCAACATGAAGGAGCAACAGAGGGGCAGAGAGATGGAAGGATGTCAGCCACAGAAAATGGATACCAAACTAACACTTCATCCTACCCCCACAGCTCTTACCCAACAGACAGGTGATGGTTTGTTTAGGCTTCTGTGTTTCTTTTTCTTTCTATTTAGCTAACATCTAAAAAATGTTAGCAAAACTGTTCTTGCTTCTCAGAGAAATAACCCCCTCTTTTAATCGTTTTGTTTTTCCCAATACATCCACAACAGTCATGTTTTGCCAAAGTCATAGACATCATGCATTTCTTTCTGGTAGTTTTGAAGCAACATTAGCATTTATTGCATTAAGTCAGAAGTAACCATATTTAGCTCGAGGCGGGGGCCTTAATGTTCAGCTTGGTTATCAAACTGCATCCATCATGATCCAGCTCAGTGGATGCAGTAGTGGAGGTGCACTCTACAGCACCCACGCCCCTAACTTTAAACCTTACTGAAATCCAAACAGGTGGCCCTTCTGTACAGGAATGAAGGGGGAAATTAGCTGATCTTTGTACCAGGCTATGAACATCTAATTTGGACCTTTTTGTGAGTCTTTTGGAGCCAGATTTTGGTGCTCAGAAGAACTAGAGTTTTTGGATAGAACCAGCATTAAAATGCTTTTGGTGGTAATTCAGTCTCATGCTTTTGATAGGCATCAACAGGAAGAGTCCAGCTTTGGACCCTACAACCCACGCATCAAAACTACTGGAGGGGGAACAGAGAGCGAGACAGTGGTCCAAAGAGCCCAGAATCATCAGAGCATCCAAGAGCAGAAACAGGATTTCCATATTCCCCAAAATTACTCAGCCCCTGAAGTCAGGCGTGCATCATCACAGGAGAGGAGCAACTCCTACGCAGCTGTCCAGTCCTTGGGAGACCAAAACAGGTACAGTTAGAGTGGGTGGGGTCTTCGAAAGTTCATGATTGTTCAAGAGATCAGAGTCTGATTTCAAATCAATGGCCGCTTCACGTCTGTGATGTCTTTTGATCTCTTTTCAGATCAGTAGACCAGTCCAGCATTCATTCAGAGCCTGTAGCATCTTCCAGGCTCACCCTTGGACAGGTTCCACCTGACCACTCACCTGGTCAGGCCCAGCCTCAGGCTCCACCCTCTTCTGCCTCACACCATTCTCCCCAGCACCTCAGCGACTCATCTGCTCTGCACTACCAGAACTGGGACCACAGAGAGCAGGACAAAGACAAAGAGCACCCACTGACCCGCCTGGAGCTCGCCCTTGCCGAGGTCCAGCGGTGCGGCAGCCCTGAAAGCAATGCCCCCCAAGGGCCCGCTCGCAGCCTCTCTGTTTTGGAGAAAGTCAGTCGCTTCGAACGTCAACAACGCAACGGAAAGCAGCGCAGTCACAGCACCTCACACAACAAGGCCCATCTACGGGTAACTGCAAACAAGATTAAAATATTTCTTCTGATGATCTCAGAAGTGAAAAGGCTTCCTTATGCTTAGCTTCTTTCAATACTTTATGCTTCCTTATTCAGAATCAGATCACAGACAAAGGCCGCAGCGCTCCTTGTGGAACAGAGGACCTCAGAAACATGCTGGAGAGAAGCACCAAGGGCATCAAAGTCCAAAGGACTCCAAGCTACAGAGGAGGCAGCAGTGAGCATATGAAACACAGGTAGAGTGATTCTGAAAATACAGATGAGTATATAACTAACTACTGGTCTAAAAAGTGTTGGTTAAATTTCTGTGTGATGTTCAGAACTCCAACAGATCCAGTTTCAGCCCTGCAGAGGAGTCGCAGCAGCTTCCATCTAGATGGATCCAAGGAGGAGGACAGCAGCAAGAACTTGCCCTGGAGACAGGAAATCCAAGAGATCATGGCCCCAATGCAGGACACATCCACAAACAGGTCCTTTAACAAGTCATCACAATGGCACATCCAACATCCAACAGCTCAGTGTGATGATCCTGATCCAAGAAATGTCTCTCCAAACAGATCTTACAGGGACTCCTTGAAAGACGCCCAGTCTAAGGTCCTACGATCCACCTCCTTCAGACGGAGGGACCTCACCTCATCGGGCAGTGCCCAGCCTGCTCCAGCTCCTCCTTCTGGCTCCTCCTCTGGCAGCCAGCAGCCTCCACCCGTCCCTCCCAAATACCACTCACTGGAGAAAAAAGGCCCCACGACCATGCCAAAGCCACGGGGCATTGTCATCACGCCACAGTCACAACCTCTGGTCACTTCCGCTCACACACCCAAGGAGAGGCACTTGGTTACTCCCGATGTTCGAGGCTCTAGCCCACCACCCCTCCCCAGCGTCCCACCCGTTGGACAGCCTCCTTCACGGCGGATTTGTGGCCGCAAGCGTTTGACGGCAGACCAGAAGAAGCGCTCATACTCAGAACCAGAGAACATGAATGAGGTTGGGATTTCTGACCCAGAGACCATGTCCTTATTCCGGCGTGGAGGAGGTAAGATTTCCAATTTTTAAAAGCAAACTCCTTTTGCCTTTGTGTGGTAAACAAATTATTCAAATGATTCCAGTTTAGTTACTTTGCTGGAAATGCTGAAATCCATTTTTTTCTTTCTCTTCCAGAAACCAGTGTGGCAGACCGTCGGAAGGTGTTTGAACCTGCTGCAGGTTCTGTTGGGAGTGGAGCTTCTCAGAATGCCATATCAAGGCCCGACCTGCGACAAGTGCAGCAAGAAGCTCTCGCTAAGTACATAGAGAGGAAGAGAGGCGTGAGGAAAGATGAGGGAGGACAGAGGAGCATCTCGAGGCCTCGCAGTGCTTATTTTCAGCCTGAAAATGTTAACCATGCAGGTGGGTGCAGGTGCCTGGTAAAGTATCCAGGCAGAAAGGTGGAGCAGTGAGGTTTGATACATGGATAAATGAAAGGTTTAAGTGAGAGGTATAAGGCAAATCACTTTTCCTCCTTTCCTTTGTCTTCAGCCTCCTCCTGTTACTCAGACTCCCTCAGCCTCTCCTCCGCTTCCAGCCTGCTCTCCCTCCAAGACCCATGTCCAGCTTCTCCTCAGGGGGAGAAGCACCCCAACTCAACTCTTCTTCCTGACCTGCGGAGCCACCAGTCTAACTTTTTCTACCCAGGCAGGGTCACCACACCGAAGCCACCAGCTCACCCACCATCAAGGTATGCAAGAACAGGCCCCAGCTGAATCTAATTCTCTTAGTAGCATTGTTTAGGACACTTTGGTGGCTCCCGATTTTATAAAACGTTAAATCTTCTCCTGCTTTCTTCTCTTAGCACGCCTTCTGGCTCAACTCTTGATCAGATCTACCAGGATCTTGTTCCTGAAGCAGAGCTCAGGAGACACAGCCAGTCATCCATCAGAGAGCCGAGCCTGGGCCGTGAACAGCAAGTTGCAGAGCCTCAAGTCAACCGGGGACTGTCTAAGCAGCTCAATGTTGCTCTGCAGAAGGCTGGGTCAGTTCACAAAACAGGGAAGTCAGCCTCAGCTGAGAATCTCCTGGAGCGATCCGAGGACACGCGAGCCCCCCCTCAGCACTTTCGCTCTCGTTCATCCCCCATCATGGAGAGACTAAATGAGGTAACGCTCTGCTCCGCTGCGGTGCTCACAGCGGTTATTGTCGTGAATGTAGAGGCAAGAAATCATTCTTTCAGGCAGACAAGGAAAAAGCAGCCAATCTCGTGCCAGCACACCAGCTTCTAGTTCAGATAGCCTTCTACTCATCCATTTGCCAAATCTCACATAGGAAGCTGCAGCGCATCTACAAGCCACCTCCACCCTACCTCCTCCTCTTCATGAGCTATCTGTCGTATCTGCTTCCTGCTCGGTTCTGTATGGGAGGTCTTCCTTTCCTTTCTTTATGCCTTCCCTGTTTATTTATATGGTGGTCCTTAATTAACTATAATGAACATATAATAAATAAAATTACAGTAATAAGTACATCTAAAAAAATTATCATTTTAGAGATTGATTGTCATTTCTGTAATAGGAAGGATCTTGCAGTTATATGCTAATAACATTGGGACTTTAGAAATAACAAATAACACAGCATCTCACCTTTTCCAGCTTTTTCCCATCACTCTGTCGATCATGCCGACCATCAAGCGTCAGGTTAAAAAGATCAGAAGATGCACATCAAGCGCCCTGCATGCAGCCACCAGCTGTGACATCACAATAAAACAAAGTTTTATTTTCAAACTTCAAGATTCAAAAGGCAGCAGCTGCCAACTTAACCCATTGTGAGATAGTGATTTGAAAATGTAGTGGAAGGATAATTAAACTGTAAGTGAAGTGTTGAAGGTCCATATGTCAAACATTATATTAATCCAATATGTCAAAATAGAAATAATAATATTTCCCAAACAGGAGTGAAACTGTCTGTTAATTTTGGTTACATAACTATTAGGAAACAGAGAAACAAAGCCATTTTTACTTAGAATTGTTTAAGTCAATGTTTGCAGATGATACAAATAATATAGCTATAATCAGCGTCTGTCCTAGAGAGGTTTTTGTGTTCCAGCGACTCAGAGAGCACGCTATAATCCAAATATAAAAAAGGGTTTGGGAAAACAAGCAGCTCAGCCTTTGCCAACAGAGACTTCAGCGTCATGTGACCCAGCCCGGTGCTGCAGAAGCCAATGAAACAGGAATGCATTACTTTGTAATGTAAACTGAGTATTTCTGCAGCTTACTTTTAGATTGTCACAGTGAAAGATAAGATAATTCACGCCGCGATAATAAAACACTGCAGTGTTTTGGTGTCTGATAAACCTTCATGAGTCTGTCACTTCGTTCCCTTCCTCCACTTTGGCCTAAAGAGGCATTCATGGACCTGTTTGTATTTCCACTTATTTGATCACATTTGCACCAGAGTCACACAGGAAATAGCCCAAATCCTCAGGGTTTCCTGTGAGGTGCCAGTGAGCCGGGATGGTGACTGGGCGCTGTCTGATGCAGATGATAAGAAACACAAACACACACACACGTGCTTACATGCATCTTAAAGGAATGCTGTAACGGATAAATTCATCCTTTATCTCCTTCAGTAATCAGACCTGCCCGTGTCACATAAACATCATTACAGCTCAGTCCAAGTTGAGGGTTTGAGTTAAATTTACCTCTTTTTTTCCAGAAATCTTTTAATGACAGCCAAAGGCTGGATCTGAAATGTAACATCTTCTAATTACTGAAGCTAGAGGCTAAAATGCAACCTAACCCTAAATCCTGCCTTTAAGTGGTGGATGTTAAGGGGTTAAATTTAAGAACTTTATGTTCCCGGATCGTTGCCGAAACATGCCAAAGGAGAGTTTACAGGTCAAACTCGGCTTGCTGGAGAGACATCAGTGCATGTGGTCTTAATGTGTGATAAGGTCTGTGGTCAGACTTGTGATCGCTGATGGCGCTGTCTGGGTTTTTCAAACAGCTCAGAGACACAGGAACAGGAGTATTTAGTGTTTCTTGCTAGTCTTGATTTATAAAGCCCAAGAGCTCAAAGAATGGCGTTAAACATGAGAGAAACCCCTTGATTCAGATAAGGATAATTCTACTGTACACACACTGTGATTTATAAGAACAGAATGATTTCATTAAAGTAAATAAAGTGATTACACATTACACCTGGTTACTGCGACTGCAGTAATCAGTTTTGTAACTAAACCATGGCAGACTCGATGACATTTCCATGCTTTTCAGAATTCTTTATTACACACGTTTGCTGTTCACAGCAGCTTCCAGCCACCAGCCGAACACACATCACCAACAACAACACCTGACAGGACTCTTTCTGCCAGTGATGCGTGATTGCAGATGCCGCTCGGGTGCCTCCGCCTCTCCTGCAGTGGCACCGCAGACCATGCCACAAGTTTATTATTATTATTATTATTATTCAGCAACCAGATCAAGGCAGAACCCTTTAATTTATCATCTCCATCTGCATCTAAACCTGGATAATCATAGAAAGAAATTGCAGAAAGCATCTTCTGGAATTTTAATGTCTTAAGTTCCACCAGGTCACCAGGGGCCTGCTTTAAGGTTAGGTTTTACCCACGTAGAAACTAGAAAATTTCATTTTTGCTTTTTTGCTTTTGCATTCTCTGTTTTCAAATATTTCCATTTGGGTGACCCTAAAAGTGGAAAAATCTATAATATATAAAAGGTTGTTTTGACATTAAGGTGCCAGTGACTCCTTGGATATCAAGAAGTAAAACTGACTTCTTGTACTTGACCTTAATGTGCCAAGGGTTTTTAGAGGTTATAAGCTTTGATTTGGCTAAACATACATACATTAATATGTATGAAACTACAAGAAATTGATTATTCCACTTTCTCTCTTTGTGTTTCAGGACTTCCTTCCAGACGATGTCCGGATGTTTGGCGTCTTCATCTCAGAACATGAACGCTGTGCTCTGGCTGCCGACAGGTACGCCGCGTTTCTATGACCACCATGTCTGGGTTTCACCTGGTGGGTTCTTCTGGTCCTTCATTACTATCTTCCTGTCATATGACCATCAAGGATCCATAACTTTATTTACAAGTACAGCACCGTGCAAGTGATTTCTTGGTCCTCATACAGCCCAGTGTGAGCTCAAGTGGGTCAGACAATCAGTAAAACAAAAGCATAATAACCTAACTTTGCTTGTAAATGAGTAAAAAGAATTCTGCTATTTGAAGTGTCTGAAAGTTTAATCAGTCTTCATTGATGCATAATCAACAAAAGTTAAGATCCTGAACGTCTCTCTGCAGAGCCTTTTCTCTGGCGATTCGTTCAGTTTAGTAGATAAGGTTTAAAATGTGACTAAGGACTGGGGGATCGTGGGAATTCAGGTTCATTGCTGAATGCGGTATTTTAGCTCTCTTCCATAAAAGGCTGTGGACTCTCAGACTGTGCTTGCTTTAGGCTCTTTGCTATTTTAAAATCATCTTGTGCCCAGCTGTTGGCATCACGGAGAGAAGGACACATTTAGGGGGAGAAAGAAGGAAAGGAGGACTGGATATAAAGGATATAAGGGATTGGGGGTGATGGAGGCACAGGGGCAACAGCTAAACGAGACACAGAGCTAAAGGAGAAGGTGAAAGGAGATATGGGTGAAAGGAGGAACAGATGACATGCAAGAGTTGAAAAGGATGAATACGGAAGGTGGTGGTAAGAAGGAAAGAAGAGGAGCAACTGAGAACCAGTAAAAGTAAAAAAAAAAAGAGGAAGGAGGGTATAAGAAGGTTTTACAGCTTTACTTCTTCTGTTCTTTAGAAATGAAACTCCAGGCAGCTTTCTGAAAAGCTTTTAGAGAAAAAGAAGGGAGTATCTGTTGTATGAAATGAGAACAGGCAAGGGGAGGTATAGTATTTAAAGTTGAGAGGAGGGAAGAAAGGGTATAAAGTTACAAAATGAGGCAGAAGATTGGCCTTCTCGGAGTTCAGGGTGGAGAAAGAAAGAGAAGAAGGAGTTAAATAAGGGAGGAATGAGGAGTTTTTAAGAAGCAGGAAAAACTCCCTGGCACTGAGAGGGAAAAATAAACAGAATACCAACTCTTGTCTGCAGGGATTTATTAGTTACAGACATTTAAATATGTTTGTCCTTAAAATGTGAAGGTGAAAAGTCAATCTGAGGAATTCTGAGTGTGTGTTTACACAGATCAGTCTGGTGTCTGGATATAACCAGGAACATGAGGGCAGTAATCCAGATAACTGAGCACAAACAGCTGATAAGATCAAAAGTAGTTTAGATCACAGTTAGGACACTGGATGTTAGGAACAACTAAAGGTCAAGAGCACTTTATTTAAACCTGAAAACAACACTTTGCATATATTTTATATTACTTTATGGATTGACAGCCAGTAACATCTCCTAAAGCAGCAGTACTAGTTTCCATCCATTTGTCTTGTGGTTATCTGGGGTCACAGTTCCAGCCAGCTAAGCGAGTTATTTCAGGTCAACTCGAGGCGTTTTTAGGCCAGTGTGATATATAGTCTCTCCAGCATGTTCTCAGTCTAAGCCAGGACTCTCCTACCAGTTAAAAGTGCCTGGAAAACCTCCAATTGAAGACGCCCAAGAGGCATCCTGATCACATACCCACATACATGCTTTAAGAAAACATGAAACACACACAAGTCAATACTCTGACCAGCTGCCAGAAACAATGTTGCAGCTATAAACCACTGCAGACCGAGAAGAATTTTCTCTAATGATCTTCAGTCGACCTGGAACTTTAATTAAAGTCGATTACTTTATGTCTGCACGAAGTTTTGTCAAATTAAAAAACCCACTAATGCAAATTCCGTGAATCCAACATCAGTGAGTTTGGCATCCAGTTTTCATAATAATCTATGGTTTACTCTCTGGGGAATAGGAATGACATAAAATGATAAAATAATAATTAAATCATGAGATCATCCATGCAATGCTTTTCTACCACTTACCTGTGTCTGGGTCGCAGAGTCTGCCTCTGCGACCCAGACTTCTGCAGTCAGAGTTACTTAGACCTCCCTCTCCTGACCCACCTCCTCCAGTTCAACACCAAGGCATTCCCCACCCAGGCAAGAAACATAGTCTCTCACGTTTGCCTCGCTCTTCTGTAGGGTCCTCAATCCCATGTAGGAGGAGTCAAGAAAGCATTGTAGTGAGATGCTGAACCACATCACCAATTCCTTTTGATGTGAAGTAGAAGCATCTTTAGTTGGAATCCCTCCCAAATGACTGCGCTTCTCTTCCTATCTAACAGTGGTCCGAAACACCCTTCAGATGAATCTCATTTCTGCCTTCTGTATCCGCGCTCAACATCCGCAGGTTCCAATATATACACGAAAAGCAAATATATTATCCTGAGGCCACTGAACCGGAAGCTCCGGGCTATACCTAGAAATTCTTTCTATAATGAACAGAATCGATGACGGTCAGTTGACCTACTAGAGCTGAACGCTAACCAGGAGCCACTTATTGTCAGATAATAAGATATCCTATTGCTGTCCAAATTTTAAACCAACAAAATGTGCTTAGTTGTAGATATATTTTCAGTACCACTGTTTTCCTCACTTTCTTTATTCTTTTCTTCATGTTTTCCTTTAAGACCTGCAAACGTCCATGTACCAGAAGGCTTCATCTCTCCATCCCAGAACAGCATGAACACCTCCCAGCCCATAGGACCCTCTACAGGTGAGTGAAATTTAAAAAAAAACCCATTAAAAAGTGTGAAATTTGCAGCCTTTTTAATTATTATTCAATTATGACACACTCCAGGATTCACTGAATTTAACTCACTAGCCTCCTTGTTTTTAAATCCCAGGCTTCTCCCAAACACCGGTCATTCGTAAGGAACGGCAGAGGAACAGCGAGCGCCAGCGTGCCCAAAGCACCTCCACCTTGGCAGCCTCTGTTGGCCTGCCCTACCCATTGTCAACACCCAGGACTCAGGAAAGAGGCAGCGATGAGTGGCAATCAAGCGAGAGGTTGAGCCAGGCCAATCTGGATGGCATCACTTTCCCTGGCATCCAGCAAGTGAGCGTAGGCAGTGGTGAAGAAAGTAACATTTCTGGTGTTGAACGTGAAAAACAGAGTAGACACAGTTTGAGTGACGCCACCCTGTTACAGGACACCGCAAAGCACACTTACAGAGGCAGAGCCTCCAGTTTAGAGATAAGAGGCGGACTTTCTGAAGAAAATGTAAAACCAGGTTCCCCAGTGACACCAACCTCACCTAAAAGGAAGGGTAGCGGAAGCAGCACATCCTCTCCTCTGCCGTTCTCCCATCCGACTGTCCACCTGTCCTCACTGCGAATCTCAGAGACCAGCCTCTTTGGCTCCGTCAGCCAACAGCAACCTCCCAAAACTTCCACAGGCACACCACTGGAGGACTATGATGAGGTCTTCCTCCAAAATCCTGCACCACCTCCTTCTCCACCTTTTTCTCCTCCAATCAGGGAGACAAACATCACTGAGGATTTCCCTCCTCCACCTCCTCCTGTGGAGCTGGAGCTGGAGGCTAAGGAGGAGACAGTGGGAAGGTTTGTTTTACAATATCTGCGTGTTTTATTTGAAATGTCATTACTGTTGTTTTGATTTTTAAAAATTATTTTCTTCTTCCGTTAATTTTCCCATTTCTCCAACTTTAGTTCCACTTCGGAGTTCTCCACCATTTCCACAAGAAAGTCTTCCCCCCAGTTTTTACCAGTCAGCTCTTCTTCTGTGCCCAGTCAACTTCCTTCAATGCAACCCTCCACCATCACTCCAACCACCACATCTGCCACCACAGAGGACAACCTAAGCCTTGAGTACCAGCCGCTGCCCAAAAGGGAGAAGACATCTGAAGAGCTGAGAGTGGAGGCTCTGGCTCAGCAGTTGGTGAGTGTCTGAAGTCAATTTGTATCTTGCTGGAGAGTCTCTGGACTTTGTGTGTGGAGGAATCATCAAATATTTGGGGCTTAGCAGACAGAGAACAGGGGAAATCTACTTCAAGAGTTCCCATTTTTTAATAGGGATGAGATTTCAAGTAAATATACAATTGGACATTTACTAGGAACTGTTTGACTTTTCTTCAAAGATACCAACCTAGACTCCCAAATGACATGGAATAGTTTTGGCAGGCTTGTGATGTGGTAGCTTTACCTGATAAAAAGGGTTTTACAAATGTAAAAAGTTGCATAACTTAATAGCATCAGTGACAACCTCAAACCTAACCCTAGGCAAGCGGAATATGACTCTGTTTTTAAATTGTTCTACAATGGCAATCACAAGACAAAGAAAATAATCTTTCTAACCAACACACACACAAGTCCTCTTCACTTTTCCCTAAAGGGTTAGAGCGGGGATGTCCAACTCATTTCACATTATGGCCCACATAGAGTGCACTTTGATCTTAAGTGGGCCAGAGCAGTTTAACTCCCCTTTTTGTCAGTGTAAAGAAATTTAACTACACTTTTAATCTCTGAGATTTTTTATATAAGAAATACAAGTGCAAAAATTCAACAATGCATCTAAATTTGTCTTTGTCAGAAAATGTTTCTCTTCAGTGTAAAAAGGTACAGCCAGTATTTATTCCTGGGTCTGGAGTTCACTGCACTGTTTATGGTCTTCAACTGCAACTCCTTTCCCCTCTTTTCCAGTGCAATGCTATGACTGATTTTGAACTACAAGAAATTGTTTAATTTTGACTACCTTTCTTTTTGTGCTTAGTTTTTATTCTTTTCTTTTTTCCAGGTGTTGCAGGACCCCTCTCTAGCGCCCCTCTTGGACACGTGGGGAGGTAAATCCACTATAGAGCTATTGGAGGAGATCTTTCCAAACAGCAAACTGATTGGGAAATCACAATGGACCCACAGAGGCAGCAGCCAAGAGGATGACAGGTAAGCAAACCCTTTTATTTCTGGCTGCATTTTCTAATTTGTTCTTCTGGGGAGTGAGTTTGTACAGAATCAGGGTTGAGGGCGGTCGCGCCCTAAAGCAAAGCCTGCTTTATCATCTATTTGACTCTAAATTGGACCCAAGTGTACAAAAAGAAAACCAAACTCTATTAAATTAGACTTGAAACTACCTATCAAGGCCATAAACTCATCAGGAAAGTGTTTACTGAGGTCATAGATCAAAGGAGAAGGAGGCTCAATTTCTAAGAGATGTCTATATAATCTGACAGGCAGAGTAGCTGCCCCCTGCTGGTCATCTAAAAGAATGCAGGTTTAAGGCACTTTCCAGACACAACAGCTGCCTCCCTCTTTGATACAAAGGTCACACTTCTCAGCTAACATGACTCAAGACTCGTCCTTGAGGTCATTCAACTGAGTTTTATCATAAACCAACAATGGATTTCTTATTTCTGAATACTGAGAGGGTCCCACATATGTAAGCTTTTGTTGCATTAGCTGGTTTGACAAAACCTAAAAATCTGATTCATAATGGATCTCACAATGTTGCTTGTTCTCTTTATTTATTTTATTTACTCAGGCTTTCTACTTCAGGATCTGTGCACATCTGCGTAATGACAGCACACTCTAAGTGCTTTGAGTTTTTATAATGTCTTTAATAACCATGTCTTTGATTGGTCACATGCTGTCAAATCATCTATTCACGTGAATGGGCTCCTAGCTAGATTAAGAAAGACTGGGTTGGCATATAAAGTTGATAACCAACTTCATGTGACCACTTAGCCCAATATCGGTGTATGTTAAGCCAATTATGAAAATGGGTATGTAGAACTTGCTTCATAGTACAGCGCGCTGGTGTAACCTTTCTAGTTTGTTTATTGTGTCGGCAGATTCACTCAGAATCATTCCCACTCTGATACATCCACTTACACAGAACAAACAAAGGCTTACAATCAAAGATAGTTGGTTCCAAACAGTTGGATAATTACAAGACTGGAGTGCACTAAACAGTCTGGTGATGCTGTTTAAAGTGCTTTATGTAAGGCAAAACTAAAGGCCTCCACAATGACTCTGTTTATTTAGCCTCAAGAGCAAAATTGCACAGAGTGACTTTTATGGGACTGAAGCACGACACGAACATTTTTGGGGGTAATGGACTTCCTGTAAACCAGCATTTATCACCCTTGCTGTGTATGCTGACAGCCTCCTTCCTCTTATCTGCTGCTGTCAAAGCAAAGGAGGAACATTGGGAGCCTCAGCTGTCCCTGCAAGTCACAGCCTGTGATGTCAGTGACATCTCGAGTGTGTTTTAGTTCGCTGGCGAACGCATTGTTCACAGAAAGAATGAGAAGACAAACAGCCGTCATTGTAGAGGTTGTGCTTTTGAACCTCTTTGATTTTCTCTGCTGCCACACTCCTTGTGAAGTACTCTTAGGGGTCATGAGTGAACCCGGCATCAAATTTATTTCGATTTCTCGAGGTCTTTAACCCTGCTCGAGTGGATGAGGTAACCTGCGGGTTCAAAATCAGCTTCCTTTGCTGACTGAGTGTCAAAGTCAGACAGGTGAGACCAGACAAACCTGATTAACAGCAGCACAGTTTGGACAGCGTTGTCAACCTACATGAGAATTTCTTAAACATCATTACCTGAATGGGATGGTATGTATAGGGGCTAAAAATATATAATTTTAAAACGGACAGTGAGTTAAGTGCAAGGTTTAAAAGGGATTTCACAACTAAGAAAACCAAGCACCTGTTTTTTTTTACTTTTAGTGGACTTGAAAGGACGCCCAAAAAAACTCAAAATGAGTTGTATAGTGGTGTGCTATGACTTACAAATCGATAGTCACCCACTTACCCCCAACCACTTGGGGCAGGGCTGCCCCTCCCTAGCCTGATTTCATCAGAGGAAAAGGAACTTCTTCATTCCTGCTGTCTGGAATCTGGCATTTCCATATTGGTGCAGTTTTACCAAACTGAGGGACTGCATGTGCCTTTTAATGTTATTTAATAACCAGGATGGTCATACAGGTAGAAAAATGAACCTAATGCATGTGACTTTTTAAACTCTGTGAAACAAAGAGTGTGTTCATCGCTATTTACATTTAGAAAGTTCAGAAATCTGCAATATGAAAATACACTTTGACACAGTGCAAAAAATGTACCTAAAATGTGTCTTAATACTGGATTATTATTACTAATGAGTTCACCCAGAGGATGAACTGCTAGAGCTGATGAAGGTGGGGTTTCTTTTGCCTGTTTTATAAACTCTTGCATCTCTCTGATCCAAAAGAGCTCTTCATATTTTATCTGATTATATTGTTTTAATGGAAAGGCCACAAGTAGGAATAAAACAACTTTTTTACATTTTCCATCTAATCAGCCCTTCAGGCTTATTCCTGCAGCAACACTGACACCTAGTGGTACTGTGTTGCTGGCATAACAGACTGTATCTGGTCAGTAAAATAGCTTTTTCTTTAATGTGAGCCTCCACTGCATCAGCCTGGTTTTTAAATCGACCTTGAAAAAGTGTTTCTGTTCTTTCAAATGCTTTAAAATGGATAAAATACAGGGCTGTCACATCAAAAATATCTGTTTTTAAATAGTATTGTCATCTTTGTAGGACCCAGGCTGGCATCTGCGATCCTGCTCAGAGCACGGCGGCAGATCAAAAGAAGGAGCCCAATCTGGATGAAGAAGAGAAGGATCTCAACACCAGGAAGGTAAAATAAAAAATAAAAATAATAATTTCTCGTTAAAATGTGAATAATTAACAGTGTTAAGATATAATGTAGGTGCACAAATCAATAAATCTGTAAATGAGTCTTATTTTTAAATATTTGCCTAAAATCCCAGCAGCAGAAGGTAAAACTGCCAACTGTTTTCACATTTCTCCTGCTGTCCACCAGGTGGAGCTGTGTGAAGCTCTTAGGAGCAGCGTGGTGGCTCTGAAGCGGGAGAAAGAGGCGCTGTGTGAGGAGCAGAAGCATCACAAGGCGCTGGGGGATAGCATCGACACAATGGTGCAGGACCACCTCAAAACCAACGAGAAGGACAAGTACAGCGTGTTCATCGGTATGACATCAGAGTGACGCTGTGACAAAAAGCAGAAATATGTCATTTTCATTACACTTCCACAGCAGATAGGCTTTAAGGACCCCAAGTTTCAGACGTAAGTATTTCTATCTTTAGTGGAAAGAGGCTTAATGACCTTGGAGAATAAATAAACAAATATAAAAAAAATATAATAGGACCTAAAATCGAGCCTTGTGGAACACCGCAGGTAATATGAGCTGCAGACAAGGAAATAGGTTCTTTCTAAAAGGTAAGAAAAATGTCTTTGACCTGTTTGTTGTTTGCAGGTGATCTGGAGAGGATCGTGAACTTGCTGCTGTCTCTGTGCAGCCGGCTGTCAAGGATTGACAGATCTCTGCTCGCTCTGCAGAGAGACGGGCTGTCGCCAGAAGAAGCGGCTGAAGAGAGGGTGAGACATGCAGAGTCCACCTGCCTGCATCACACCTGCAGTTCTGTGATTCAGGCAGTAAAACAAATGGGACAGTAACTAAATTAAATTCATTTTAGGTTTAGTTTTGCCCTTCATACGGTGACAGTTTTCCTCCATATACCTTTAATGTCTTTGGCACATTGACACTTCAGTGTCTGAAGTGTCTTTATACTAAGTGCCTGATAACCAGATCAAGGTTCTTGGGGGTCAAACCATCTCAGACTGAGTTATGTGATTTATTAGAAGTATATGTAGGCATGTGTGAAAAGAATAATAGAGAATTAGATTTGGGGAAATAAATATGGATAAATTCCAGAAGAGGTGAAATGACTAAAATAAAACAGAAAATTAAGTAAGCAAATGGGAAAAGTAACACAAAGCTAAACTGAAACAAGATGGTAAATTTCTGCCAGATTTTATGAATTAATTTCTATATTTATTTACATTTTTGACTATTTTAAATACATATAAATATTTATCAGAATCCTGATATTGTCAGTTTTGGTCCTCTATAGGACCAAAACTGACAGTGAAAGGGACTTTAACTTTTGCACCACACTATCTGCCTCCCTGCTGTTTTCCTTATTATTTGTTTCCCTTTACCTGCATGCTTTCAAATTCAATAGAGTCAAAGGAAGACGGTCCAAATTATATATATAAAAAAAAAGTTTCTTCATTTTTTTGGAAGGTCTGTGAATAATTGTGTTTAATAACCCTGATCTCAATAGTGTGCAGTTCTGCTGTATGACTTAAGCCGTGTCTGTATCATCTCAGATATTAAAAATAGTCCCAACAAAGATTTCAGTCCCAAATATTTTGATATATGAGAGTTTATTTCAACCCCTTTTTCTGAACAAAGGAGCACACAGGAAAAAAATGAGCTTGAATCAGTGAAGACAATCGATGTTTGACTCTGTTAATGTTTGCTGTATCTTTATCTGCTCTCACCCGACGACATAATAAGTCTAAACTTTTGAGTCAACTCAAAGATGAAATATTAACTTTTACCTCGTGGTTATCTGCTGCCCTGGCCTCAAACTCAGACCAATTCTGGTAAATGTGTTATAAAAGCAGTCAGTTGTGCTCAGTGGTTGTTTTTTTAAGAAGATCAAACAGTTGATTTTATACATCTTATCGGTTGTTTATGAATACTTTAATGAGCTTTTTTTTTTTTTTTTGCAGTCACACGTTTAAGAACACTTTGTAAAAGAAAGAAGTTTTCCCATCTGTAGCCACAAGGGGGAGCTGAAGTACTATCCACTTGTTTACCCAGTGCCACTGTTATAAAGTACATGGTAGTGATTTAAAGAATTAAGTCGCAATGTCTTATTGCATTAAGTTCATTTCCCCAGGTAACACAAACACAGCAGTTATTAGAGACAATTTCTTTGTATAACAACAGTCCTCTCAAAGCATTTGGTAAAGATAAGGTAAAGACTGCGACACTGGAAAGAAAACCCCAATAATCAGGAGATCCACTGTGAGCAAGCACTTGGGGACTGTAGGGAGAAAGAACTCCCTTCCTTGTGGAGAGGCAACAAATAAACAGGAAAAAATGCAAGGAGAGCGAGGACGAGCATTATTGGCATGTGATTTTGAAATATATAAACAAAGAAGATATATAGATGTATGTGTTTGATATATGTGTTTGTTTTCCTCTTCCTCAGGACTCCCTTAATCACAAGCGCTCTCTCCTCCTTCGCCAAACCGAAGACGCTCGAGAGCTGAAGGAGAACCTGGACCGGCGGCAGCGCGTGGTCCACGCCATCCTGTCCAGTTACCTCAGCGAACCCCAACTCCAAGACTACCGGCGCTTCGTCAGCACCAAGCCCTCCCTTCTGATCCGCCAGCGACACCTGGACGACCTCATACGACGGGGAGAGGAGCAGCTGACGCGATTGGCCGAGAGCCTACCAGCAGAGCTGGCAGAGGCCAACGGCTGGCCCGCAGCAAGCCCCGTGCCCTGCTCTTCTTTGTTTCCACCACTGCTTCCACCCGCTGCAATTATAAGCCCTAGCCACGTGGTCAGATCTACCACTGTGACATCACTGTGACATCATGAACACGAAGGACAGGTAGCACCATAAAAACTGAAGGAGCTTTACACGAAGGATGCCCCAAAACAGGCTCCGCCCATTTTGAATTGACTATGCAGACTTCACACATGAAGAAAAGCCTTTAATGTGCCTCTTTCTGTTCACGCCTGACTGCACATTAGGCCTCTGTTCACCTCAACGCCAGCAACTAGACAATATTTCTAACCACACTCTGCTGGTTGAGTGATTTTAAGGTCAGAGGATTACCAGGAAAGTTTATCATCAAATCCTTCAAAGGACAATTCCAGCATGGTGGATGATTTTCTCCATTTTTTTAAACACTTAGACCTCTTCTGCTTTTTTTTTTTTGGGGGGGGGGGGTCTTGTTATATATATCCTGCTTCAGTGATGGATTAAACATGGCCAAAGTTTCACTTTCACATAGGTTTTTCTATTCTGGGATCTGTATGGTGTCATAAAGACGGGATACCCAGTGTTTCCCACACATATCCTTCTTACCCATTTCTCAGTTTGTACTTCCTCACCTCTTCTTCTTGCATTTTAGTTCCTTCCACCAGAGAACCGAAAAGAGAAAGTGAGGAAGAGACACAAAGAAAGGGGAAGAACAAAATGAGGCACTGCTGCTTTAAAGCGTTACACATGAAATGTGGCATATAGTTCCTACTGATGTATTTTACACAGCAAGCCTTCATTTTCTTATCAAAAAAAATCCACAAAAAAAGGAGTGCTGGAAGTGCAAGTAATGCGAGGTAGATGAAGAGACAAAACAGGACTATTTATACACACTCAAATGTATATAGTCCTGAGGCACAGGTGGGAACAGTCACACACAGGTGAAACTCATGAGTGCAGGGCCGGCAATCTCAAAAGTGGAAGTAAAACCACAACGAGACGCACAAAGACACACAAAAGACAGACGTAGCTTCCAGGTTTAAAAAGTAATGTCAACACACAAGTGCCTTAAAACTGCTGAGACCTGTGTAAACATTTTCCTGATGAGTTTATGGGCTCAGTCACAAAAAAAATCAAAGCTTCAAAACATGTGACACCACGGTGGCTACAGAAAACGGGTCATAGCCAATTACATAAAGAACACTGAAGCAGAAACACATAGAAAGAACAGGAAAATAACACGCTGGATTTATGAATGAATGCTTCAGTGTGGAGCTTTCAGGCATAAAACACTTGTGTATCCTCACTCTGCTCTGACCTCCAGATGTTTTTTAGAAACTGGGACATTCTTCAAGATGGTTCTGTTAGACTGATTTCCAGGTCAGGGCAGGAGGAGAATGCACAAAATAGAGCAATGAAAAACCCTGTAGACTACGTGTACTCAGGTTAGGGTTAGTATAGTTAATATACCATCCATGGTATAGTTACTAGTGGACAATCTCCTTGCTTTTCTATTCTGATTTCATTCAGCTGCTTCTCTGTAAAGGGTGTTATCCTTTGTTTAGATGGACTTAAACTCCACCACCTGCAGTTGTTGCAAGAGAAAGAGCTAAATCCACTTGTTACAGGCAGAGTTGCCCCAGTATAAGACAAATAAAGATTATTTTAAACTGTGAATTATGCAAAGCTACTCTAGTAGAGCCCAAGAATAAATCATATGGAGGTAAATTAAATATTACTACACTGGAATTGTCCTTTAACTGACTGGTGATACTTTCAGGAGCCTCAAACATTCAGACCTTCCTCCATGAGGTCTTTCTATCTGATAGCTGGTGCACGTGAGCAGTTATCTCCCAAAGAGAAAGCACCACCATCTTTAAAAGATCATCATCTTCTCCATCTTTCCACAGAGCCTGCCTCACTCTCACATCACCTTAACCTTAATGAACACCAAAATCAGAGGGACTATGATCTCGTTTCACTGGACAGAAAGCAAAAAAATCCTGAAGACGAACTGTAATCGTCACTGTCATGTTAAACTGTAACACAACTACTGCCACTGCTGTCTGCACATCTGCAGCTTGTAGCACTTTGTAGCAGTCCCACTGCTGTTTGCAGCAGAAATCACACTGACCCATAAACACTGTCGTATGCCTCTCATCAAGTCTGACGCTTCACGATTCCAAAGACTTTCACAGGCTGAGATTTCTTCCAGATTTCATCTTGGTTCAATTTTGGACTTTGGAGGGGGTTTTTATGTCAGAAATGTTGCCAGCTACAGTAGTCACCTTAAAATCCACTGATTTCCAACAGATATCAACTTAAAAAAGAATAATCGGAAAAATAACCCAAAGATATTTAACTTTGTGATGCTGAGAAGAAGCAAACCTTTACAGTTGAGAGGTTGTAATGTTCTAACTTTCGGATCATTTATAGAAACATTTTCAGTTCCAGGAAACCTTTAAATTAACAATATGTTTCCCACTATGTAACATGACATTTTATTTTAATTATCCTTCTTTCAGAACGACTTTCAGTTTCATAGAAAACTGAGAAACATATTTTTAAACTCCTTTCAGTCCAGCTCTCTCAGAGAAAAGAAAGACCCACACTGTAAAACCTTTAGATGCCAGATTTGCCTGTGCATCAGTTTCTTCTCTTATCCATCCATTCATTCATTTTCTGCCACTTATCTGAGTGCAGGCTGTGGGAGTAGCAGTCTGAGCTCTCCTCTCCCTGGCCCCCTCCTCCAGCTCTTCTATTAGCCAAGAAATCTAATCTCTCCAGTGCATCCCGGGTCTGAACCAGGCCTCCTCGCAGTTGGACATAACATAAAACACCTCATTTAGGTGGAGGAGGCATCGTAGTATGTCATTTAACCTCAGCTCTTTCTCCCTCTCTGCCTGATACTGAAAATACCCGTAGCCTTACTCTGTGTCGAATCCAACATCCCTGTGCTGACGTTTTGACACAAATTCAGCTGGTGGCTGTTTTTTTTAAAATTGTTAATCTAAAACTGTCAGGATGTAGGACCTGAACTTTTTTGGCCTTTGAAGCCAGGCGTCCCAGGAAAAATTAGAAATATGAGTTTGGTTACTCACTGAGATTATTTCTCAAGCTGTGTTTACACACGTACCTGAACAGAGATATTCAGATTTAAAACATTATGGTGATAAAACTGACTTAAAATTGGTGGTGTGTCCCTTTAATTCTGTTTCAGTTGACCCCACTGACTTCTTACTTAAATAAATTTAGGTAATTTTTTTTTAAACACAGAAAATGTGTTGTCAGGTGAGTAAAGTACAAAAGGAAACAAGTGCAAAATGGTGACCTTTTTATTTTTAATCCTTACATTTTTTCTTTGTTTGATACATTTTTGTCATATCTAGGCTTCCATAGGTCCTCTGTGACTCATTGGAGGATCAGGTTTATAAACTTTTCTCACCTTGCTGTATAACAGGCACCATTTGGCTTCCCGTCCCTTCATACAGACTCCGAATGGTTTCATTTCTGCAGTATATGATATTTATTTGCTTCTGATCAGTGGAGGGTTTTTGACTTTTATTCCACGCCTACGTGTTTAGTTTTGAGAGCACCTTTTAAATATTCTCCAAGCAGTACAACACACACACACTGCCGCATGCCCTCCTCTATAACCCCAGTTGTACTGTTGATTACTGTTTATTTTCAGAGGCACTAAAGAATATCTCGAAAAGATTCTGGTTTATTGTTGAATGAAATTCAATGTTTGTTTTCTGAAAGACTTAAGAACAATAAATAAAAAGTAACAGCTTTTTTTTTGCTAAATAAATGTTTTTTGTAAATACTATCAGACTCTTTCTTCTCATCCTGTTGACCTGCACACACGCACACACATATAGATGAATATCATCACTGCAGTGGAAATAAAGTTAGAAAGAATCGGGATATTTAAATGATGTAAAACAGCAGCAGGCGAGCTCTCGGACCTTTTACAGAAACCTGCTGAAGTTTTAGCGCTTCCCTGTCTGCAGTGCTATAAACACATGATTATTATCACGGCTTTACTGCACATTTGCTTCCTGAAATAGGAGCTCACATCTTCACTTCATTTAGATCCTCAACACACATCCGGGTTACCTGCGGGGATGCAGCAGGTGAGAATGTGGTTAAATACCTGGGGTGGGCGGAGTTTATTCTGGTCTGACAGAAACAGCTCCTGACCTTTGGGACTAACAGGGCGGGAGAGAAAGAGAGGAGCTGCATAAGGCACTAATCGGAGCGCAATGGCCTCGGAGTTCACTCAGGACGCGGTGCTGGTGTTCCTCCAGAGCCGCGGAGGCACAGTGAAAAACTCCGACCTGGTTCTGCACTTCAAAAACTTCATTCGGGATCATGCGGACCAGGACCGAAACCGAGAGCTCTTCAAGAAGTTCGTCAACTCCGTGGCCACCGTCACACAGCTGGACGGAGTGTCTCATGTGATCCTCAGGAAGAAGTTCAGAGGATATGTCCCAGGTAAGGGGGCTGAAGTGGGCTCCTCCGACCCTCCGTGCGTCCCGGTCGGGAAGAACGCCGAAACTGCCGCTCCTAACAAGCCGCGACAGAAACCGCAGCAGAAAGAAGCGACTGCACCCGCCCCGTCGGGAGAAACTGCAACGAAAACAATCCTACCTGTGGCTGGCCTCGTCCTGACCAACAACAACAGCGTGCAGGAGAATTTAAACCTGAGGCAGCAGCAGGTACACCAGTCTATACAACCAGTGACAGCACAGGTAGTGAGTCACAGCCCACAGACACCACAGCTGAAGACACCCAGTCTGCCCACGCCTCCTGCTCTCGATCAGGCTTCTAAAGTGGGGCAGGGGCAGCGGAGAGTGGGTTTTGGTCCACCTCCTGGTGTCACACCTGCACCTCCTCACAGAGCAACCAGCCCAGGGTCAGAGGTCCTCACAGGGCAGAGGCAGCCAGAAGCGGGTGTTCATGCTCAGCGTGCCCCCCGACGGGCGGGAAACAGGCCAAGCTACAAAACTGCTGTGAGCCAAGATGATGAAGAGGAGAAAGAGGAGGAGCTCACAGTGACGCAGATTTCAGCAGGAGGAACGCGGCCCCCGAGCGCTCTGCTCAATGCCCCGGGGAGGGTCACGCCTGCTCCTTCTTCAGGCCAGAAGAGTTACAGTCAGGGTACTGAGGGGCAAATGCTCACCCCTCGGAGTCCAACTAGGGTCATTCCGAATAACAGCAACTTTGACCTGAGACGGCAGCAGGCACACAGCGCACCTGACCACTCTGTGCGACCAATGTCAGCACAGACGGTGAGTCACATCCCACAGAAACCACAGCTAAAGACACCCAGTCTGCCTACACCTCCTGCCCCAGATCAGGCATCTAAAGGGGGAGAGCTGAGAGTGGGTTTTGGTCCACTTCCTGGTGTCACACCTGCATCTCCTCATAGAGAAACCAGCCCGGGCCCTGAGGTCCTCACAGGGAGGAAGCAGCCAGAGGGGGATGTTCACCCTCAGCGTGCCCCCCGAAGAGCAAGAAACAGGCCAAGCTACAAAACTGCTGTGAGCCAAGATGATGAAGAGGAGGTCATAGTGACGAAGGGTTCAGCAGCAGGAGCGCGGCCCCCTAGCGTTCCACTCAGTGCCCCGGGGAGGGTTACGCCTGCTCCTTCCTCAGTCCAGAGGAGTTACATTCAGGGTACTGAGGCCCTCAGAAGGGGGCCCCAGCCTCCAGAAGGTGGTCTTCATCAGGAGCCTCCTGTGCCTCCACAGCTCACCCAAAGGCGTTTGAAGCACAGACAGAGCTATAAAGCTGCTGTGAGTTATGATGAAGATGACGTAGAGGAGGTCCCCATGAGGCGAGGTTCAGGAGGAGGAGCGTGGCCACTGAATGTGCCGCTTGGTGACACAGTGAGGGCCATGTCTTCCTCATCGCCATGCATCATAGACACGCCTGCACCTTCATCTGTCCCACAGATTTACATCCAGGGCGCTGAAGGGGAAAAGCTCAGCCCTCACTATCTAGGTTTGAGGGAGGAAACTGCAGGCCCTAGGCTGGAACTGGGCGAGACCACCAGACGCAGCCTGCCTTTGGAGACGGCACTCCACCGCAACATCCAGCAGGGCCACCAATACTCACCACTCTCAAGGGAACCCAAACCAGAGACCAATCAGAGCGACGGACCGTTGATGTCGTCCAGCCACAGCAGCATCTACTTGCCCTCGTCCGCTGGCGGCTTCCACAGCACCAAGTGGCCGCCGTCTAACTCCACCAGAGAATTGGGATGGACCAGCAGCTCCTCGGATCTGCAGATCAGAGCAGGTACGCTAGCAGGTCTTTTTGTTAATGTTAGCTGGTTAGAAGCTTGTCAGTATTAATCCACCACTGAAAATGGTCCCCCATCAAAATCACTCTTTCCCCGGTCTCAATGACTCCCCCTGACTTTGTCAGCGATAAATGTTCTCAGGAGAACCTCCTCACTCTCATACACAGGCAGAAATGTGGAAACTAATGCAGAAAGTAAATGAAATTAAATGAATATGTCAAAATAAATGACTACTAAATCAGTTTAAAAATCAATATAGCTGAAAGTTCAATACAAAATAAAATAAAGAAATATCAACTTATGTCACAGTTTATAGATTATTGCCTCTTTTTATTTTTAATATTAATTTTGGTGCATTTAATTACATTATGAATTTTCACTTTTCACTGGATGAAAAAGTCAAGCTCTTATGTGACACATGAAAAACTTATATGTATGTAAACAAGCATCTAGATCTGTTTATTTATTCATTTATTGATGTTTAATTTATTTCATTACCTAATACATTTGCTTTTGTTTGTTACATTTTAGAAATTATTATTGTAAAATTACTCACGGCCACTTTATTAAGTACACCTGGGCCAGACCCTTCAGAGCTGCTTGAATTTTTAATGGCTGAGATCGAAAAAGGTGCTGCAAACTTTCCTCAGAGATTTCAGTTCACACTGGCATGATGACATCACACAGTTGCTGCAGAACTGTCAGTTGCACATCCATGATGTGAATTTCCGATTTCACCGCATCCCAAAGGTTCTCTGTTGGATTGGTCTGGTGATGAGTGAGGCAATTTGAGTACAGTTATATATTAGAAAATGAGTTTTGTGACACGGTCCATTATCCTGCTGGAAGTATCCATCAGAAGATAAGAACATTGTGGTGATAAAGGGAAGGGCAAGCAATGCTCAGGTAGGGCATAGGGTTTAAATGAAAATCAGTTGGTACTAAGGAGCCCTAACTGTGCCAGGAAGATATCCCCCTCTAATTTCATCCTGTTTTAGTGTGCCTGTGTGAAGTTTCTTTTTTTCTTAGCTGATGGGAATGACTCTGGTTCTGCCGCTGCTTCAAGGTTTGACGTGTCTGCATACTGCATACTTGGGTTGTAACATGCTGTTATCTGACTTACTGTTGCCCTCCTATCAGCTTGAAACACTCTGGTCATTCTCCTCTCACCTCTGGTATCAACGAGGCATTTTCACCCAGAGAACCGCCGCTCACTGGATATTTACTCCCACTAGATCAGCAGTTATTGAAATACTCAGACCGGCCTCGTTCAAAGTCGCTTAAGTCACCTTTGTTTCTCATTCTGATCCTCAGTTTCATCTTCAACAGCTCGACTTTACCGTTTCTACATGCTTAAACATGTTACATGCTGTACTTGATTGGCTGATTAGATGTTTGTATTAACAAGCAGTTAAACAAGTGTGCCTGACAAAGTGGCCGAAGAGTATATTAACACAAACAAGTGAAAATGATAGATTGTCCTTCTATTTGTTACAAAATGTTACTATACAAATCATATTTGATCTATATCATTTACCATAATCACAAGAGGATGTTTTATTTTTTTTAATTAAGTAAAGACTCCTGAGCTAGTCATTCATTTAGGCCATTTAAGATTCTGACAGTTGTGGTCCTCCATACTGTTCAATTGGTAGGAGAAGAGTAAATTTAAAAAGAAATTTAAAAAAATGATCAGCTTAATAGTCAGTGACACTTAATTTTTTTTAAAGCTTTATTTATTTAATCCAACAGTCTTTTATTTATTTAAAACTTAAAACATAAAATAAGTGATTATAGCCTGAGACACACTTATGGGGCTTTTAATAGTACATTTTCGCAAATTGATAAGAAAATGATTACATTTATTATATTTATGAATGACAGATTTTTGTCAGTTTTGGTCCTCCATACATTTTAGCTACGTCAAAGTTCATCTCAGTAATAGAGTCCAACTCATGCCTGACCCATAATGAACAGTATGTACTTAAATAAGCTGGCGTCCTTATTTTGGGTTTCCTGTGTATGCACCTCTGCCCGAGGTTCATTAAGCAAAAGTGGTAATCCAGCTGTTGACTTGTCTCTGTAACATTTCCGTGAAAACAGGTGTGCCTGTAGGCGTGCCCAGAATCCAGGGAACTGTCAAACGAACCAAAGAGGGTATGTCGGACTCCATGATGAGTCGTGCTGACACTAAAATAGTGCCTTGGCATCGCTCCACCGGTCAGCTCTATGACGAGCAGGAGCCCTCAGCTCGTTCGTCACCGCTGCGTCGCTCCACTGACCAGCTCAACGAGAACCAATCCTCTCCGGGCCGAGTGGCACCGTTTTATCTTTCCACAGGTCTGACCCGAAGTTTAAGTTCACTATTCACTTCTAAGCATTTAAAACAGCAGTTTCTGTCCTTTATCAGCCCTGTTTTTCATGTTCAAATTGGTTAATTGGAACAAAATTTTAAGTAACATCTTTTCAAACTTGCCTTTACTTTCCCACCTGCACCATAACCATCGCCTGGTGTCCTTTATCACTGGGTGGGAATCGATGATTTATACCACACTGAACGCTTCCCTCTGTCTAAAAGGTGATCTCTGTGATCGTGAAGACGCAGTGTCAAGCGATGACTCCGTCTCTTCACCTTACCTGCGGCAACGCCCTGGTGCCACCAACCGGATGAGCACCAAACAAAGGATGTCCCTCAGCATGGGAGCCGACCTGGACCAGATTCTTCAGGAGGAGGCAAGGGAAGGAAGAGGAACCGAGGAGGCTCGGAGGAGCCGCCTCCACCGGATTTCTTCCTCGCTCAGCCTCCGCCACAATCTGTCGTGCTCCTCATTATCATCCTGTTCCACGCCGCCTCGAAGCCACAGCCTCGCCAGTCTGGACGAGCCAAAAGGAGAAAAGATGAATCTATCTACAGAAGCCTCGCCCTCCTCCAACCACCGTGACAACCATGGTCGACATGTAAGACTTATTAAAACTAACAACTGTGATTAACATAATCACAAGTATTAATTACTGTTCACCTGTTCATAGGTTACATGCTTTCAGCATAGGTTATTAAACCTATACTCTCCTTTTGCCCCACACATATCATATAATACACGATGAGGCTTCATTAATTAAAATTATGTGCTCCTGTCATCAGTCGCTGGTTCCTTTGGAGCCGAGGGAACATACCTGGCTGGTTAAGGCGGCGGCGGGCAACTGGCCGGAAATCTACACCCTCTTCAGAGAGGAACCGTCCCTCCTCAACAAAAAAGACTTCATCTCAGGCTTCACTGTACTGCACTGGATTGCCAAACACGGCGACCACCGAGTCCTCAACACTCTAGGGTACGCAGCGAACTTGTGACCTATAATTAGGAACGTCTGAAGTACTTGTGCGGATTAGTGCTAGTTTTGTCTGCTCAGGTTTAATAGTGGAAGGTAGACCAGTGACCCACTCATGACTCTCTTGTGTTGACAGCAGCGTTATAAAATCTTTAATGTGTTTATTGTTTATAGATGATAAATGGCACTCATCCATCATCCATTTTCGGTTTCAGGTATGGAATTGAAAAGCACTCTCTTACCTTCGACGTAAACGCCAGGTCTAACAGCGGTCACACGCCTCTCCACATTGCTGTCATGCACGGTCACAAAAACATCATTCGGTTGCTAATCAAGAAGTTCCAAGCTAATGTGAAGCAGAGAGACATGGCAGGTAAGAGACCTTGGCAGTACCTGAGCCTCGACGCGCCACTGGAAATGTTCCACTTGCTCGCAGCGCCGATGCAGGACGTTATGTCAGGAAAGAAAGGTGTCGAGATGGCAAACACCAGCTGGGAGCAGCAGCAGAAGCAAAGCCGCCACCTGCGTCACCATGCCTCCTCAGCTTCAAGAGAGAGCCCGCTGACAATTGCGAGTAGAACGAAGGTGAAACGGGCAACCTCACTTGCTGCGTTGCTTAAACACAAACCATTAATACGATTTCAAGCAAATCAGGTGAACTCCTCAGCTTAAACTTCAGAGTTAAGCTTGTTTCAAGAGTCTTGCAACATGGAATAGTCAGAACAGCTAGCTGGTCCGCAGGTCTTAAGAACTACCAAGACCGAGATTAAGAAGCAGCTAACTGTTTGTCACACTTGTTCCTTTGTCATATGCTTGGGCACCAGCAGTGATTCTCATACAGTAGTGAAAAATATTTCCTTTCCTGAAACCAGCAAAAACTGCCAGAAACTATTAAAAGAACAAGCCATGCTGATTAGGCCACTGCATAATTCACTTTAATATAACTTTACAGTGTTCACAGTAGCAGTCAGTGTTACCACCTTATTAATTATCTAGCTATTTAACACAGAAACAAGTATTAAATAGACACAATGACTGCATGACATCATGTGAAAAAACCTCAATACCTGCCTGGTTAAACCTCTTTTGGAGAAAAAAACTCAACACACCCTCTGGTGGTAATGCTGGTAGTTCCTAAACACGCATTTTTAAGAATGATCTTGTTTTACATAAAGAGCAGTGGCATACCAATAATCGCCCTTTCTTTCAGTGAAACTGAAAATATGCAACAGGATAAACAGGATTTCTTCACAGTGGATATATAGAACTGCACATTTTCAGGGTATGTAGGACTTGACTGCCTCCTCTCTCCTCTGTGAAGACCTTTCTGAACTATAAAACCCTATAAACAGATAAATCAGCTCTTTCAACAGCAGCTGTGAGCTTTGCTTTTAAAGCCTCATTTGTAGGTCCTTTTCTGCTGTTGATTGTTGGAAGCCTCTCCAACTGGATAAATATGCTGTATAATATTTCACCACTTCTTATTATAACAAAAGAGAGATTAGTTTTTTGAAGGCCAAAACCTTGAGCTCAGGCCAAACAACTGCAATAAAGAGAATCATGAGTTTCCATGGCAGACTTTGAATGCCTAACAAGAGATTGTATCACAAAGAAGCTGAAATATGATCTAAAGAATGCGATTGTTTAAGTGGGGATCTGATCTGCGAGCGCTTGACTGGTTTTCAGCAAGACTTTATTATCTTGCAGTTGTGACAGGAGAACATACAAGGTGTACGTTTACAAGCTGCAGGCTAACAGGAGAGACAGTTCCAGTTTCAGCCGTGATTCATTTACTGATACTTATTTAGAGTTTGGAGTACACACCGCTGCTTTGTTAATGTCTGTTTTACATTCCTCCTGCTGTTTACACATCATCCATCAGTTTGTTCAGTGATTTCCCCCCCCCCCCCTCCTCTTTCTTTTAACCAGTGTTTAGTGTGACTTCATAAAGATATTGTAGACAAATCAAGAATTAAAGTCACTCGGAAAACAACTTGTGAATTAGATTGGCACAAATTAACTGCCTCCTAGGGAGTATGCATTTGTGTTGTTGATATGAACCCATAATAATGTTTAACAAAAATAAGCACATATACCAAAATGTCAAATTCTTCCTTTAGCTTACAACTTTGTCTGTATTTTCTGAGTGCCAATAATCTACACATTTAATTAACATTTGCATTATTTTTTCCACCTTTTTAATTTGACTGTTGTTTTCATGTTATGTTGTTGTCAACATCTGCAGTTTGGTTTTCAGTGGTTGCCAATTTTGACTGGTGACCATTGGCTTGACATAGCTACTGGTAGTCAATTTAAATTACTAATGTCACTTGCTAATGCTAGTCTAACATGACCACTGGCTTGAGGTGGGTAAGGCTATTTAATGTCAGCTAACTTTGGCTGTTAGCTTAGTGTTATATTTGGTTGAAAAGGTTAAAATTGGCTATTATCAGGTCATTTTGATTACTAGCCTAGTAATGACCATTAGCTTGAAATTGTTATTGCTATTCAATGTCTGTTAATTTTGGATACTAGTCTAGCATGACATTAACTTGAGGTGGCTAATAGTAGCTGTTGTCAGCTAACTTCAGCTGCTAGCCTGATATAACTATTTGCTTGAGCTGACTACTACTACTAGTTGTTGAGCTAATTTTGGCTGACCCCAGGGTTTGATGTGACCATTAGCTTCAGATGGCTAATACTTGCTCATATATTCATTAGCCTGAAGTAGTCAATAACGGTTAACATTAGCTAACTTTCTCTCCTACAGTCCCTGAAAAGCTTTGAAAAGTTGTACTTTTATCTAAATTTACACTTTTCTGCATTTGTTTATACTTTTGTCACAGTTGAACTGAAGTTGTAGCTGGTGGATAGGGGACAAACTTATTATTATTATTATTATTTTTTTTTTATATTAATTACTGTGACAAATTATAATCAATGTCACCACTTTGTTTCTTTTCAGTTTATCAGTTGTCAAAGTGAGACTGATTATTATTTTACCCAATTTCTATCGTGAATATGTAACGTTACAAAAAAACAGATTTTATGAATGAGTGAATGTTAAATGTGAAAAAAGTTTACAATTATCAAGTAAACATGTAAAATTAGTACTGGACATCTTTGACATTTTGCTATATGTGCACCACCACCAAGTATCACAATTTCTCTCATAAACACTTTGTGTTACACCCTTTTTAAATGCTTCTTAGCAGACCTTCCAGAGGAACTCAAGAAACTATTCAAGAAATTAAAAAAAAAAAAACTGATGGAGAATTTGTAAAATGCTGAGGAGGAATTTGAAGTTGAGGCGGTGTAAAACATGTAAAAGCACAAGTATTATCCTTTCACAACCACCAGGGTACATTACATTTGACTGTTTTGTTTGTAAATTTGTCTGTTGTTTACTTTGACAGATGCACATTATATTTTTAACGCCACTGAATATTAAATATGTTTCACAGTTGGATATATGTTTTTTGTATGTATATTTGAAAGGCCTGATGAAGGTCGAGTCTGAAATGTTGCAATTAAATATAAATTCTGCAAGTCAGATCGCATGCTGGAGTGTGTTTGTGAAACATTGGTGTGAGGGTTTCTGTTTCTGTGTTTCAAGACTGTTCTTCATGCTTGTGGGCATGTTCGATCCTGATTTGTTGTGTTTTTGTTGTGTTTGGGTGGGTATGACTGTAATGGGGACTTGAAACCTGCTTAACAGTCACATTATGCGGACTTAAAGGAAATTAATATTAGTCAGGGTTCAGGGTGCTGCTGTTCTTGTAGCTGTAAAGGCAATTTTTAAAAAAATCCTCTTTGAGGATTCAAAACATGACTTTTAGATTATGTAATGTGGGTATTTCAGTAGAAAGAAGTGTGTATGTAAGTGTATGTGTGGTTTTTGTCTGAACAAGCTCAGCAGCAGAAAGTCCCTTCCTATATAACCGGTCTGACCTGTAGCATTATTCCACTCCATTTCAGTGTCTCATAATACACCCAGCTGGGATATGTTATTGCCAAAGTTATTTACTATAAATTTGTGAAATCATGCTCCATTTGTCCTTCCCTACGTCATTCCTGTTTATCCAAATTTAAACTCAGCAAGTGTGTTGGTGGGGACTTGAGTAAGTTTGGTGCTAAGATTGACGTCATTTGGATCAGTGGTACTTTTATTTTGACAAAATAAACTCACAGGCATGTTTCTTCTTTGACATTAATGCATTCCCAAGCTTTTCAGCCCAAAGTTTAACCCTCAGTGAAGTGCCAAATCCTTACAGTAAACCTAACCTGTGAAAAATGAAGCACACCCCATGATTCAACAGCTTGTAGAACCACCTTTAGCAGCAGTGACTTAAGTAATCATTTTCAGCTTTCTCCACTCCCTCATCAGCAGCCAGGTCCAGGAAGAGGAAGATGGTGGAAAAAACAGAAACAAAACAAAGGGAGAATAAGTCCACCAATGCCAGAGAGACTGAAACAGTGCGTCTACCATGACGCTGTTCTGCCCTTTGATGTGATGAAGTTACAAGAACTCAGAGACTAACCGAGAGCTCGAGACAATACAGGGAACAAAGGTTAATGGCCTGTAATGACACCAGAGGCACAGAGCACACGAGAAACAAAAGAAAACCTGGGGAGGGCCCTCGTTTTAGTTTGGACTTGTTTCAAAGCTGCAGGTTTACGTGTGGGAGATCTCTCTGTTTGAGCTGCTTCCCTTTTATCTGTGTGCATACATGTGTAAAAACTAATCCGTGCAGCATTTGCTCTCACAGCATTTTACAAAGTTCTGATTCTGGGACAGAATATAAGCGGGGGGAGTGAGGAGGGGAAATCTCTTAAATATGCTGAACCCTTTTATTCTGGGATAATCAGCTGAAATAGTCTTAAGTTTTAAGGGATCAAGAACAGTCCTCTGGGTCTTTTTGTTCCTAATATCTTGTTGCACGTGTTCTGAATGTTGTTTTCAAACCGCCTTTGTAGTTTATGTCACAGGTTTTATCTTTGCAACCTGATGAGCTAGGTCCTGCTGATACTACACGCTTTAGTTGGTTGTGCAGAAAGCACGTTTTTTATTCTTGAGTCAGTCTGCTGCCATGTTTGCTACAGTTCCAGCTGTGGAAAATTGAATATAGAACATTATTCAGTCTATTTGTGGATATATCATCTGTTAATAGATCTTCATTCCTGGTTTCTTTGAGAACATCTCTGGCTGAAGCAGATGGCACTCACTTCATCTGTTGTCCAGAAGAGTCAAATGATCGATGAGATGCTCTCCTTTTATGTGAGCGTGAGAGACGGTAAGAAAGATCACAAAAAGTCAGAGTTAACAAAGAAGGTTGATAACCATGGTGGGGTTTTAGGTTCCATCAAGCCAGCTAACACAAAGAAAACCTGTCTTCATCTTTTAAAGCACCTCAGTTTTCTGCACTTTATTTTACTTTCCCATCTCTATTCACCCCACCAGCTCATCTTAAATCCTGAAACCTCCCCTAGCTATATCAAGTGTACTAATGGACAGATAGTTGGATCCAAGATCTCCTAGCAAAAGCTTCCCTGAAGCAGACTCAGAGCTTGTGATTTATTACACCAACGCTACCTTCTCTGATTATCCCATAGGTCACCATATATTTAAGAAAAATGGACCCTTGTCCCGTTTTAATGTTTACCATGTCAGTGCGACCCACCTGGGCTTTGCTTTTGAATGTGGCTAAAAAAACAAAACAACCCAAAATGTTCAGAAACAAGATGACGATGGTAGAGGTTACCTTTCAAATATATCTTATACTTTGATTTTTAGTGTTGAAATGACATCAGGAGCTTGCCTTACTGCTTCTATAGCAAAGCCAAAGATCTCTGACAGCTCTGGGTATAACACTGTCCTTTTTTGCAGTTTGTGTGAAAGTAATCTGGAACAAATGGAAGACACAGCACATGCTCAGTTTCATATTCTTTATTTACTGGTGCCGTGGTGCGTTCAGGGACCTGGCATGGCCACCGGCAACTCCTACAGCAGGAACAACAGAGCTTTTTTTCATGAAGGAAAATATACTGAACATGAAGGGATTTAAAAAAACAAACCAAAAAAAGAAGAAGTGTGTTTTAGCTTTGAACATCAAAGCAAAGATAGTCACTCAACTCCAAAGAAAAAACAGCTTAAAACACATATCTGTCTATTAATTTTAAGCAGCCGCTTAACCAAAAAACACAACTCAGGTTTGGGATCAATGTAGCTGGATAACAACATGTTAGCCAGGATAAGTTAAGCCAGAGTTGTTTTCTTTTTTTTATTAACTCTCATGCATCACACCCAGATTGTTTTCTTACTTTTTCAAAGCACACAATCCACAAATAGCTGCTTTTCGGGCCCCAAACAAACAGTAAACGAATGTTTGGTGGCCGAAACACGCGTTCATTCAGTTGAGTGTCACAACAAGCTTGAAAGGAAAATAAATGTTTATATTAGCATCTTTTTAACAATCAGATTTTACTGAAAAAAAAAAATTCCCCCCCAACAGGGTGAAAACTACAGATAATCTACACAAACCTTCATACGGTTGATTCAGACTCTCTATGAATATGTTATAAATAGGCAGAGTGAGAAGGGACGGGATAAAAGTATAAATATATGAAAATAAAGACAAATATAAGGTGACAAACAGACGCAGGAAGTCAAGTCTAGGGTTTTTTTTTTCAGTATTTTCTACTTATTTTTTAGATTCTCATGTTTTGTGTTCAACAAATAGAATTAATAAGAACAGAGTAGCAGCGGCAGGTTTTTTAGTTTTTGAACGTTTAAATATTTTTTTGGGGCTCTGTTGTCCCCGCTGCAGGGGATGATGGGAGCTGACTGCAGGCCACCCGAACAGCTTGGCATCACACCGAGTTGGGAGGGGGAGGGAAAGCG